AGGACTTGTGGCCCTGTGGGGAACCCACGCTGGAGCAGCCTGTACCTGAAGGACTACACCCTGTGGAAGAGTGACCCATGTTTCAGCAGTTCATGGAGAACTGTCTCCCATGGGAAAGACCCCACACTGAAGCAGGAGAAGGACTGTTCTCCCTGAGCAGCAGCAGGAACAGCATGTGATAAACTGACCGTAACCCCCATTCCCTGTCTCCCTGTGCCACTGGCAGGGAGGAGATAGAGCCCAGGAAGGAGAGAGGGGTGAGGGGAACGTGTTTGAAGATTTATTTTACTTCTCATTATCTTGCTCTGATTTTGTTAGTAATAAATTTAATTAATATCCCCAATTCGAGTCTGTTTTGCCTGTGACAGTATTTGGTGAGTGATCTCTCCCAGACCTTATCTCAACTCATGAACCTTTTTAATATTTTCTCCCCTCTGTCCAGTTCCAGAGGGAAGTGATAGAGTGGCTTTGGTGGGTGTCTGGCAGCCAGCCAGAGTCAACCTACTACAGTAGGAAATATTCTGACGCAATGCTGATCTGCATGGTATTCAACCAACCTTGCATGATCATGCAGGATTATCTTAAACCCCCAGACTGATTAGCAGTGGTTCCTGCCACCTTTACACAAGGGCAGTGAACTGTCTCTGGAGCACTTGTAGCTCTGACCTGGGCTCTAAACACAGCCGGAACACTTCATGCCTGGAGCTGCATCAGCTTTTGGATTTTTACTGTATCCCAACTTAATGATGACAGTCATATTAAGAAAAGCTTGCTAATGATTCCTAATCTGTTCTACTGCTTTTCAACTTCTATATGTAGCCTTTCCTGGAAAAGCCTCTAACCCTATTACAAATAAATTGAAAAGTAAGCAAGGAGGAGTTAAATGATTGGTGTCCCATTTGCTAAAAGTTTGAGATAAGGTGCACCAGGTTTCCAGACTTTCTGGTCTCCTAAGTGTGTGGTAAGTTGCCTTTTCCAAAGATTGTAAGTGAAAATTACAGTTCAGTTAGAAGGTTAGTTATGCTTTTATTCTGTGCTATTTGTCCCAGCTCAGGTTTGTGCTGCCGAAAGATATTTCTGCCACTGTAAGCTCCAGTTGATGAAGCTCCTTTCTGCATAGGTGCCTTTTTTCCACTAGGATTTCCCTCTGGATCAGGGAGGGGAGAAGGTAGAGACAGAAGCTGCTGGCACTCAGCTTGCAGTACTGGGAGCTTGTCCTGCAAGGATGACTGTTGGCTGGTCTCTTTGTAGGCAAAGTTGATTTCCTTTGCTCTAGCAAAGCACAGCAGAGAATTTCAAGGAGGCTTCTTTGAGTGCGACCATGTCCTGATAATCCATCAGCTTCTAGAAGAAATTACGCAAAGTCATCTGGCTCTGGAGGTGGTTTTGCTTCTTTGAAGTTTGGACTGTTCCTTTCCCAAACCCTTGTGATTATCTACTGAAATAAAAGGCCCAAGTGAAGGCAAACATTTTTACCAGACACCCCCATTCACTGAAGCCCTCTGTCTTGGAAGTGGTTCGTGTTGACACTAATTGCTGTCTCTTTTGTGGTTGTAGGGGTTTGATCTTGGAAAGGACACAATTGATTCCATTATTTAAAAAAGTGGCAGAAATTGAACTATGTATCATTGTCAAAGAATTACTTAATTGTTACAGTTCACAGCTTTGAAAGAGCTATTGAAATATAATTTAAAGCCTTTTTGAATTCCTGCATCTTGCACCACTGAGTGCTCTCCTCTCCCTTCCCATTAATCCCAGTAGCCCCAGTAGTTACAACAAACTACATGGTGAATTATTTATGGCAGTTTAAATTCCAAACTGTTTGCAACTGAAAGTAAATGAATGCTGAGCTCTATCACATTAAAAATTTGAATCGAAATATTTATCGTGCAGGGGAATAAATTACATTAGAGTAATTAAATATCTTGAGTTGTATCTACACATCTTGTTTGGTATATTTGCTGTTGCATTCAGTGTTTGGACTTTTGCAGGATTTGTGAGGTAATATCTATGGCAAAGACATAAGTCAAGAAAAAATATTTTTAAATTTGTCAAGGAGATATATATGTGCAGAAACACACACACATATCCTAGATTCAGTTGTGGCTGATTAAGTGGTTTTCTCATCTGATGTCAGATGAGACCTTCCTAACTCCTGTTTTCAGTTTCTTAATGCCCCTATTTTCTGCCACTTCCTTTCTTCAAATGTCTTGAGCATCAGCTGTTCATGCAGATGAATACTGTGGCTCCCTGGGTCCCCTGGGTGACATGTCTGAGATGATTCTGAAAGATTCTTAGTCTCTGGCTTAAAAAATTAATTTTCTTTATATTTTAATATCCATCCCAGCTGTCTGTGATCTTTAAAGAATAGTTAATTCTGTTTGCTGGCTCTGTTTCTTGATTGAAATTGAAATAAAAACTCACCCACGACATTCTTCTCTGATAATTTATGAAAAAATGTTTTCCAGTGCAGAATAATTATGTGATTATATCAGTTGGAGTCTATTCTATGCAGTTTGAGCTTGATGTCTACACTGGTGACTGAGAGGGAATAAATGACTGTCCAGGCTGGTCCAGAGTGGGTCAGAGGCTTCATCAGTGGCAGTTCTCACAAAACACAAGATTATTCAGTGCCTACCTTAGTCTTTGCTGGTCTGTGGAGCCCCAAATATGTTACTCGTGTCCCATGTGCTAAAAAAGTGGGTTTATTGCTCCTCTCATTTGTGTTGTGTTGGGATCTGTTAAATGGGAATTGGCACTGTCATTTCTTCTCATTTTACTTCAAATCTCTGACACTTCACTCCTCTAAAAGAGTATCTTCACTGAAAAGTGTGTCATGTGCCAGTTACATTTACCAATGGGCTAAAAATTAAATGGAATACTGCAATTTTTTAATCTTTTCTTTCTCTGAAAATGGAAAGGTCTTTTTCTGCAAAAGTCTAAGTGACTGAGGAATTCCTTTCCCCATCCTTTTTTCTGTATATCAGATGGGAGAAGTACAGTAAACTGGATGATATTTGATTTCTTGGGAGGTTACTCTTTCCTTCATAAGAAATAAAAGGTGTCATTTGTCCTTGGGAGAGACCAAAAGAGGGCAAATGAAGCGTCCAAAGGAGTGCAACAAAGATGGTGAAGGGCCTTGAGGGGAAACCGTATGAGGAGCAGCTGAGGGCACTTGGTCTGTTCAGCCTGGAGAAGAGGAGACTGAGAGGAGACCTCATTGCAGTTACAACTTCCTTGGGAGGGGAAGAGGAGGGGCAGGCAGGCACTGATCTCTCTGGTGACCAGTGACAGAACCTGAGGGAATGGCCTGAAGTTGTGTCAGGGGAGGTTTAGGTTGGATATTAGAAAAAGGTTCTTCACCCAGAGGGTGTTTAGGCATTGGAACAGGCTCCCCAGCGAAGTGGTCACAACACAAAGGGGCTGACAGAGTTCAAGATGTGTTTGGACAATGCTCTCAGGGACATGGTGTGGCTCTTGGGCATGTCCTGTTGCAGGGCTAAGGACTGGACTCAGTGATCCTTGTAAGTCCTTTCCAACTCAGCAGATTCTGTGAGACCAACATTGCTTACGAGCTATTGAACACATCTGAGCTCTCTGAAGCTCATACAGGTCTCAGAATCTTTGGTCCCCTAAGATATTTTGACATTTGGGATTTAATTTTCATCTTCATTAGGAATCTTATGGTTAAAATGATGTTGCATGAAAGTGTGCATCTTTTCCATGTGCTCTGATATGCCCCCTCTCTTTATTATCACTTTCAGTTATTTGTTTACTGTGTACGATGTGGTCTGTTAGTAGAAGTCATAATGCTGAGGTTTGGACTGTATGTAGCAATATGTGTTGCTAATTTATATGCCTCAATCGCTGATAAAAATAAAGATCAAAACTAGTATTTCATTCCTCAGGGAAAACAGATCAGACTGTGTTGATGGAAGCCTGCCCTAGATTCATGAATGAAGTATTGACTCATTAGTAGTCAATTCAGAAAATTAATTTTTTTTACCCATGATTTAGGTAGTGTGCTTGTTTGCAATGTCAGAATATTTGCAAACAAAACAAAGATTACGCCTTTCCTAGGAGGAAATTATTTGTGCTATTTGAAATTTGCTGATATTTTTCATACTCGGTGAAGAATAATTGGCGCATAGGCAATTCTGACAAGAGAGAAGCTCAGAAAGGCACTAAGCTACATCAGGAAAAATAATACATAGACCAGACAAAGGAACACGTTTCAAATGTAGATTCTTCCCTGCAGTAGCAGGTGGAGCAGGAGTACTGACGTGCCCCAGTACCTGACAAGACTCCAACCTTTATTGGCAGCGGCCAGCAAGACAGCAAAGTGATTTACTTGTTATATGACCAGTCATTTTTATTGAATGAAATGTAATGAACTGTTAAACATTGTGTAAAAATATTTTTAGAAAGAAAAGAACGGTCAAAGGTAACCCCCCATGAATTGAGGAAATTATTTTATGTATTATTTAAATGCTTTGCTAGCAATTTGCTTTGACTAGTTCTGGCAGCAGTCTGTTGAGGAAGGCAGATGCCTTGTCATTCTTATCAGAAAGTACCTCTGAATATCTGTCAGACTATTACAGTAGCTGTCTATTTTTCAGGCTTCTGTAGGAGACTGATGTTCAGTAAGAAGAATTTGATTAGGCAGTATAATTTATATACATGAATATAATTGTGTATGCTGTGGCAGCCTAATGGGTTAAACTTCAGCCCTATATTTATTTGCAACATTTGCAAAGTGATTTTTTTTTTTAATTAAATGTACTATGTGTGTTTGTTTTCATATGCTGTTAGATTATTGACTGTGGAGAATACTGAGGCTTTTGGTTGTATCAACAGTTATATATACACGTATACATACACTCAAAGTGTGTAAAAACACTGCAACTGTAAATTAAAGGATTATGGAAGGTAGTGGTTTTCATTTTTATTGTAAACACTTTCTAATTTTTTTTTGTGGTTGTTCTTTTGTTGTTTTACAGTTAAAGAATCTGAGTTTGGAAGAATTACAGATGAGATTAAAAGCTTTGGACCCTATGATGGAACGAGAAATTGAGGAGCTTCGTCAGAGGTACACTGCAAAGAGGCAACCCATCCTAGATGCGATGGATGCAAAGAAACGGAGGCAGCAAAATTTCTGAGTTAGTTTTACTTTCAGAGGTAATAATATGAGTCACTGTGGACACTGGTGGCTTTGTAACAGTCTGAAGGAATTGGATTATGAGAGTTTTCAAAAACCCAGTCTGTTGAAATTTCCTTCACGAGCAATGACAATTGGAGCAGTGAAAGAATATATATATGGTGTTCTGCAAAGGCAGAGAAACACATCACCACTTGTTTGCATTTTCAAATGTTTAATGTAATACAAGTTTAATCTGTTGCTTCCCAATCTTTTTCAGGTGTATAGTGGTAATTTGGTGTTGTACATTGGGAATTGTGTTTTGGAGCACCTGGAATGATTTCTTGATTGTGCAACACTACCGAGCCTTATATTGCAATGTATTTTTCTTCCCCTTAAGTAGCATATTTATTATGTAATCTTTGGTTATCCTATTTATTTTATGCCTGTTTCCTTTTATGTTGGGAAGTATTAGGATAATATTGTGGAGAGCAGAGTCAGATTAGATAAAATTGGTATTATAGTATAATGAGAAGTTGCTCACCACTCTGTTATCTTTTAACAATTTCCAATTTCAGCAAACATCCCAATTCAGGACAGCACTTGAACATGTATCCGGCCGATTTGTATCAGTAGGATTTAAGCAGAAAGTAAGTAACAGGCACATGTTTTTCTGCTCTCCTGAATCAGGGACTGTGGTTGTAGTTGAGCAGTACAGTTGTTACACTACAGAGGATTTTTAGAGAGTGTTTCTGTCATTTCTACGCACACTGAGTCAGCTGTCATTAAACAAGAAAACAAGTGCCTAATCAGTTTTGATTTTTGTTATTCAGAAGAAGCAATACTTGCAGTCACTCCTTCAGAGTAAACTTCCAATTGCTATTGCAGTTCTGACCAGTATAAACCTCTATTTTGCACCATAGTTTTATAATGAAGTAACAGCTACAGTTTTTGGATGTTTTTTTGGTTCATTTGGGTTTCTTTGTCACTGTTTTGAGGGGAGAGGGGAGTTATTAGTGGTTTGGGTTTGTTTTGTTTTCACATTATAGATACAAAGGGATAGTAATTTAAAAGCCAAAGAAAATAAAATTAATACTTATATTTAATAAGTATAGAAAAGAAGCAACATTTTACAGTCCTCTGAGAGTTTTGTCCTGCAATCACTAAATATTCAATATTCCTGTAGTCTTCTGTTGGTAGATTTTCAGGAATCAGAAATGCAGGACCAAGCTCTTAACTTTTTACAAGTTATTCTCTCTGGTTTATATTGTGGAATACCTAGCAGGTAGAATTTGCAACATTGCAAGAAATATTTCATACTTAGCAGGAAACGTGATCCACTTTCTGAACAATCTACTGTGTTCTCTATTGAAATATTTACTATTGTTGCCTTTTATGTAAATAACTTCACTGTGATAGTCATACTTCTTTATACAATACAGCTGAAAAGATCTTTACGTTCAGCCATTAGCTGTTAAATTTTTAATGGTGACTACTGTATGGGCATCTTCTGTTAAATGTTTTCTGGAAGTTAGTAATCATCTCATACCTCTTAACATTTACTGTCATCATACATGGACCATTTAGATGGAACAGTGCAGATTTTGGAAATGGTGCATTTTATCAAAAAGCTTGTGCAAAAGGAAACCAAAAGTTTTCACAAGATCAGCATTCTACAGCTGTGCTGGGACCAGGACTTGGGTTTGAGCCATTGTTGTCATTGTCATTCTCCATGTGTTTGCATGTACACCAGGCTCTGACATGTAAACCCTAGAGTCAAATAAATCTTGATTGTGATTGTTAGAACATCTGTACACTCAACTCTCTTCATATTTCCTAGAGTGATGACCATTCCTTGTGAAAATGCAAGAACACAGAAGATCCATAAAAATTACTTTAGGCAAGATAAAATGAACCTGGTAGTCTTATGCCTCACATTTATACAATGAAATGATGTAAAGTAAAAAATGATATAATCATGTCACTGTGTTATTAGATTATAATCATAACGCAGGAAAAAATAACAGTACCAACTTCCCCCTATCAATATGGTTCTTATTTATTTAAAATGAAGTTCTTCTTCTTGAGCTTTCTGTTCTCAAAAACTCAAAGATGTGCGTGCATACATAGATTTGTGTAGGTATACACACGTATATATGCATATCTATATATGTAAGAAAAAATATAAAACACATTTAAACCATCAGGAGAGGAACCTAGCTTGCCTTTTCGTGGTGTGCCTTTAAGCAAAGTGTCATTGTCCAGACACTCTTACCTGCATCCTTAGCAGCTAAATTTTCCCTTTCTCTATCTTAAACTTTTCACACCAAAAATAAGACTTTGATTTTGAATAATGTGGCTTTACAGTGTGATAGACAGTGTAACAAAAATTATCACAAATTTCGTATTTTGTGTATTCTGAAAACTGTAGTAATGTGGCACCCTAAAAATTAATTGCTTATCCTGAGGGACTCCAGTAAAAGGCCGTTTTAGACTAGAGCTGTTGCAGTCTGGCATCTGAAAGCCATCAGAAGGACATCCTTTCTTCAATCCTGATGTGTCTGCATAGAAACAACTCAATTTTTGTGCATATGCATGCACACAAGAAGAGATTATACATGCAGGAAAAAAATGTAAACACTATGGAATAAAACAAATGTAAACAAGCTACTTAAAATGGGTGAAAAATAGCATCTGATGTACTGTAAACTGTGTAGATACAGGATGTTTGTGACCAAAGAATACTTTCACCAATTAATATGAAATCAGTAATGTTTCCATTCTGTATGGTGCACACTATGGTCAGTGAGAGCTGCCTTTGGCTTTAGCAGCCAGAGTATGGAGCTCTAAATTAATGTGCAAGCATAGCATAGGGAAATAAGTTTTATACTCAGAGATGGACGCAACTTATTTTTTCTTTCTTCTGTTTATATAAATGAATGAAATCATCCATGTTGATGACTGCACATCTCTACTGGAGGATGAGCATCTCTATAAAGGAAAGTCAATAGTATAATAAATAAGATATTTTAAAAGCAAGCCTTGCAGAAAACCTGATAGAACTACTGACAAGTTAACCTTCAGTAAGATTTTAACCAAGCAATTTCTTGTTTGCTTCTGACTTTGTATGTTTAGATTTAGTAAGTTAAAAAAAAATGAAAAATCATTGCTTATTACTAAACATTTGTAATAAAAGCTAATTTTTCATGTATAATTGTTGACTTGTTGTTCATTCTAACTGAAGCAAAATTATCTTAATAGTAACCATTAATACTCATTTCCATAGTCATCCCTCATGCTTTTGTTTCCTTTCTATAACACTGCAAGCCCAGCTGTGAGCGCAGAAACCCACGTCTCTCAAAGTCAACTCTGGAAAGGATTTTTCCAGATCACAACATTGTTGCAAGATCTAGAAGTCTGAGGATCTCCATGAAAGCATAGCAGGCCTAAGGAAAGAAATCCTCAGTATTAGCAGACATAAGTGGCTTGTGTTGCTCCTTTGTTTTTCTCATTGCACTAAAAAATCAATAGGTAATGGATAGGCTCAAGTAGGAAAAGTAAATACATTTAATGAATTTGATTCCATTGCCCATTTATTTTCTGATATTTTTTTTTAATTATTCTCTTAAGAATTTGCCCACAGACATTTTCATGAAAAATGAACTTGTGAGCAAAACTCCTTAGTGATCCACAGTATGTTTGAAGTGACAAAATTCAGCTGCTAATCTGAACTAATCTGACAATTAATTGGCTAGAATAATTATTTACTGTTTATTTATGCTAAATAATATGTTGTCTGCATTTGCACAGTGTATTCCAATGAGAGTGCACAGTGGCTCAGGCTGCTTCTCCATCCGGTGTGTTTGTTGAACTTCCAAATATAAATATGTCTCATGATGAGTGAACCCCTGCACAAATATGTGAGATAGCCTGACTCCCCATTAATAGGCACTGGTGCTTCCAAGCAGAATGTGAACTGTACAACATCTGTAAAGCAGTTTGTGCACGTGCTGCTCTGTCAGTATGATATGATGAGGGTTACATTTTCTTAAGTGTATACATGGTTATAAAGCTAATTAAAAAGACCTCACAATGTGAGGAGGGGACCCCTGGTAGTCTAGTGGTTAGGATGCGGCACTCTCACCGCCGCGGCCTGGGTTCGATTTCCGATCAGGGATACTCCCCCGGGCAGATGGAGCTCGTCAGCCCTGTGAGGCCATCCGTCTATGAGAAAGTCACTCTAAACAAACCTACGTCCTGAGGACCTCACTGCCATTGTCCAAGCTTGCTTGGCCCCGGCAGATGAACCTTAGGATTAAAGGGTGGCTCAGTTCAGCGCATGCTGTGTCTCACCTAAAAAATCCATTGCGCAGGCTTGAAAGGTAAAAGACTTTTCCCAAAATCTTCGTTCGCGAAGACTGGCCATACTATACAATGTGAGGTAGTCTTTATTTCTTTGCATTCTTCAATACTAAAGTCTCCAGCTTACTGTGGCATTTCTTTTTCTGTTTCCAAAGATCATGATAGGTGTTACATAGTCATGTCACAGAATCAATTAGGTTGGAAAAGACCTCTGAGATTATTGATTCCAACCTATGACCAAACCACCATCATGTCAACTAGACCGTGGCACTAAGTACCGCCTCCAGTCTTTTCTTAAACACCTCCAGGGCTGGTGACTCCACCAGTTCATGGAAGTTTTCCAACTTGTTTAGGTTGGAAAAGACCTCTAAGATCAGTGAGTCCAACTGTTAAGACAGCACTGCAAAGTCCACGCTAAAGCCTAAGTCCCTAAGTGCCACATCGACACGTCTCTTAAATACCTCCAGGGATGGTGACACCACCGCTTCCTTGGGCAACCTGTTCCAGGACCATCTTTTTGGTGAAGAAAATTTTCTTAATATGCAATTAAAACCTGCCCTGGCGCAACTTGAGGCTGTGTCATGCAGTTGGCTGGGAAATTTACTTTGGGATATTTGTATACCAGGCTCTGATGCAGCTGAGTTATGCCTACTATTGCCACACTTGGAGAGAATGTGTCCTGGGTAGCATGCACGCACCCTGTTTCTCACCATTGTGTTGTGCAAAATGAAGTAATAGCTTAAGCTTTTTGGGGAAAAGCAAATTACATTGATGTTCACTGCAAAGTCATTAAGTTGCACTTGTAGATTTGCCTTGTTAAATTTGTTTTAAAATACCTTTTCACAGAATGTATTTCTCCTCTCTGTTCAGTGTATTCATTATGGAAGGAGCCTATCTTTTATATGGTGTGCTCTCATCCATTTTCATTTGGTTTAATTTGTTAGGGTTTTTAAAGCATACTTGAAAATTCCCCATATTTTCCTTCTCTTCCCTCTGCTCAGGAAGATGTATGTGGGCTTTACTTTTAAGAGCATCCCCTGAGCCAAGAGTCCTTGGGACATTGTGCCCAAGTGCAAATGTCAGCAACAGCTTTTATTCTCTTCTTCTATTCAGAGATCACTGAAGTCTCAGATATCCTGTTTTCCCTTCCTTTGAAAAGATGGGATGTTCAGATTCTAAGCAAATCTTTGTTAGTCCCAGAACAACAGATACTTGATACTTTTTTCCATTGTTAATTTCACAGATTCTTCCGGATAGATTCATGCTTAGTTTCGCTAGGCCTTAGAGAATCTTCTGGACTGGAGAAGAGTAATATTTGAAGAAATAGGAAGAAAGAAACATTTTTTTAAATCTTTGCGGAGAAAAGAAAAAGCATATGGCATTTGCACCTGACCAGGCTGCCTATGAGGCTAACTATGGATGTGAGGAAAAAGGTGTTGGCTGACAAAAGCAAATCAGGTGGTCATCTATGTAGCTTACTGTTCTGTGTTGCTGTTTCACATCTAATTTTCTTCCATTTGTATTTATTGTCTTCTATGTTCATGCTTTATTTATTTCCTTGCCATTTTCAAAGATAGAAGTTTTAATTTTTACAGACTTTATAAATGGAAACATCCTGTAACAGTGCCAAATAAATAAACGTGGAAAAAACCCAATGAAGGTCACCAAGGTGGGGTGTTTTCCTTTGCTCCCCCACTCATCCGGGGTAGTGGAGGCTTTTGACAGCAGATGTTGATTGCCTCTGCATGGAGAGGCTTTCCCTGCTCCAACGCTGGGCAAGACATGGATGGAGATGGTTTTATCATAAGGGCTGAACGAGCTGTGCACCTACTCAGGATGTCGTGTAAGTGTTGTGCCCTGCTGGGAACCACTGTTGTCCTCCTGCGCCTGCAAAGCGTGAGGCACCACCACGAAGCCGTGAGTTCTGCTTTGCCGAGAGACTCAGTGGGAATCTGGAAGCTGTTAATCCGCATCAGGGTCAGCACTATGCTCAAACCAATACCTGTGGAAGCCTCACAGGAGCAAGCTCTTATCTGGAGGACAAGGCCATGCTATGGTACCAGACAGCTTTTGATGCCGCTTCGCTTTGTTGACAGGGCTGCAGTATGGCCATAGCACCCGATAAGGTGTGCCCACACTAAGGAATCTGAGAATCATGTTTAACGCTTGGGAAGGATAGAGTTCCCTGTGTCTATTTTTTTATTGATGTGCAACAAATATTTAGTGTACCTTAGGGAACTGTCTCAGTGCAGTGGAAGAGTTTGTGTAATGGCATCAACTAATGATCACTCCATGCCCCGTGCCAGGGTGTTTCTTAGTCCAACAGCACTATTCCTTGGCCTCCCAAGTTCTTACTGTGGGTGCTGGGTTTAGCTTTACTAGAAGTGATGGTGGGAACAGGAAGGTTTCATGTGATGTAGGCAAACAGCCAGAGTTCTTGCTTGGTGTTGATACTTGATCAGTGAAATAGGCCTTTCTAAAGGCCACAGAAAATTCAGAGGGGATAAACTGGGCAGTAAGCAGGGAGCTGCCCAGAGCCAGGCAGTGGGAAGGCATTAGAAGGAATTAAACTAATCTGATTCTGGGCTCAAATGCTGGTTTTTCTGTCTGTCACAATGGGAGAAAACATTAATGATATTTACCATTTACCATGGCACTACAAACCCCAGCGATCTTCAAATTTCTTTCTTTAGATTTCAGAGCTTCAGAAGTTAAATTTGTAATATGCATGGCCACATGCTAATGTATCTGGATATTTTTTTTTCTGTCAAATTAATTAAACCATATATTGTTTACTGAAGACCTGGTCTCTTCTCTCCAGGGATATTTCTTCTGAGGACAGATATTTTATATTACAGTATCTCTCCCTAGGCAGCTCCCAGAGGAAGATGTATCCCTCCTAGTCCTGTTTCTTCCCTTGGGGACAGTGTTTGGAGATGACCAGTATAACTGTTCTTTCACTGCACCCAAGTGTGCTCAGAAACACACACAAGCAGCCTCCCATGGATCCTTTTGTTCCCTTGGTGTCACTGGAAGGTTCGATGTATGAGAAGATGGCTGTGGCCCTCAGATGTTTCTAACACTTTTTCCCCTCTTCGGATCTTTCTGCTGCTTTGGACTCCTGGGCTCCCAAAGCCTGCGTGGTTGCTGTTAAGGAAAACCTTGCAGCCAGAACATCAAAGAGGGAGACCAAAAGCTTTTGAGTTGATTTATCTGACACTAAGCTTTTTGTGTGAAGCATCAATTGGTATTTCATTTTTATTACAGTACAATGGGGTATACAGGCTTAACAGCAAGAAGTGTCCCTTTGATCTCTCATTGCACATGAAAACAGGTGTCATAGTCCAGAGATTATGAAGGTCAGAGATTATTTGAGGAAGGATTAAGTAGAGTTACCATTTTTCTTAGCAACCATATCCAAAAGCATGAGATACTTTTTAAAGTGCAGATGTTATTTCAGTCTCTAGTAAGTTGTATTTATTTGTCATATACCAATTTTCCCTGCTGAAACTATGGGAGAAGACTAGAATTTTTCAGTGTTTCATATTAAAAATGCAGAAACAAGTCAAATGCTGTACTGATAAATACAATTAATAAAATAACTTTTTCTGAGTCTCCTAATATCCAGGAGAAATTTTGAGTTGCTTTTCCTGTTAGGTGATCTTTACAGAAGGTAGTCCTGAGCCTGTCCAGAAAATAATGGGGTGAATCGAATAATGTTCAACACTACCCTTCATATACACATACAATTGCTTAATCCAAATCCTATTTACCTCAGAAAGTGAACAGAATTCTCTGGTGCAGTGAGTACTGGTTCAGTATTTCCATAAACACAGCTGAAATCTTGCTCTGACTCATTCCAAGAGTCTCTCCTCCCATTAGAAACTCTAAAACAACCAAAAGTAATTTGGTAACCCACTATGAGTATGTTGGTATCTCTCCTGCCAAGGAAGCACATCCACCACTGTTTGCTCAGCTTTAATAGAAATACTTTAGCTTTTGGGGATGTTTATATTCTGCAATGTAATGTGGCTAAAATTGATGGCAATAGTATTGTAGTAGATTCAACAAACCTATTTCTCCAAGTTAGTGTAATTATAAATTTCATTGATAACCAGATGTTTAAACAGCCCCTAAATATGTAATTACTGGAATAAATAGCAATTGAGAATTTCTAGGATTATAGGACCAGTAATACAGTAGCCCCACATCCCAACAATTTATGCAAATTTATTCCATGAGTGGGTACGAGTTTGAAGCCTTTTAAATGTAGTTAACATTGATTTATTCAGCTCATCAACTGACATGAATTTTATACATCTCATAGCACTTATCTTCATTTACTGCCTCCA